TTTGTTCCCCAGCTACTGTGCACAGTCCATGCAGTCCCTGGCTAGCAGGGTGATTTTCAGGTTAATTCTTAGGTCCTACCACCACTCGGGAATCTCCAAGCCATTTGTGCCGCCTGTGCTGTCAGGGTCGCTCAAGTCGCTGCTAGACTGCAGCTCCGTGTGTCTCCTTTTTGGGTATTTTCGTGCAAATTCTTCTGCTAGTTGGGGTTTAGTCCACTTTTGTATCCTTCCCTTCAAAGCTCAGGGGTCCAAGATTATCTTCTGTGTTTGTGTTAATTGGTTTCCCTCTTCTTTGTTGAAGAGGGTCTGTGCAGTCCTTCTGCCTAATCCGCCATCTTGCTGGAACTCCTCATTGTACATTTTGTTATAATAATTGACTTTGTCTTTTCAAGCTGATCTTTGAAATCTTCTGTTCAGCTCTTTTATCTTGTCATTTCTTTAGCTACTCTCCATTCAAGAGCAAGTTTCAGAGCCTCTTCTAACATCCATTTTCATCTTTTCTTCCTTTCCTGTCCTTTTAATGACCTTCTGATTTCTTCATGGATGACATTCTTGATGTCATCCCATAGCTCATCTTGTTTTCAGTCATTGGTATTCAATGCATCAAATCTGTTCTTCAGGTGGTCTCTAAATTCAGGTGGGAAATAATCAATGTCATATTTTGGCTTTCATGGACTTGTTTTAGTTGTCTTCAGCTTCAACTTGAACTTGCATATGAGCAGTTAATGGTCTGTTCCACAGTCAGCTCCTGGCCTTGTTTTGGCTGAAGATATTGAGCTTCTCCATTACCTCTTTCCACAGATGTAGTCAATCTGATTTCTGTGTATTCTACCTGATGAAGTCAATGTGTGTAGATGCCATTTGTACCAACTGTATAGAGCTACATAATATGGTGTACCATACGATTTTCCTACCAAAAGTCACTGGGTTATTTACCATTCTCTGTAATAAAAATACTGTAAGAAATATCTTTTGTGTATATATCCTTCTGCCCAGCAATTCCAATTTCAATTTATTTCTCTCTCACCTGCTTCATCATAGTCATCACCACAGACATTCTTCTGCGTAATTGGTTGATGTTCAAATGAATCATGGTCCACTGAGTTACTAAGTAAACTTTGTTCTTGGCTTACTGAGACCCTCATAGGGTCTCTGTCTTGATAAAAATCTGTTTTACCTGGGAAGACAAAAAATTGTCTCATCAGATTTCCACTCAAATTTCTAGAGCAAGCTAAAACTTGCTAAAATGTCAATTTAGATTACAGATAAAAAGCTAAACTTTTTAAAAGTTTTTAATTTAGGTAGAAAGAAAATACTAACTGCTTATCTTTCACATAAGCAGGCATTCAAATTATTTTACTTCAGTTTTTATTAAATTTTTTAAATGATTTATTTTTGTTGTTGAAATATACACAGCAGAATATATATCAATTAAACAGTATCTACATTCAGTGACACTGATTATATTCTTCAATTTGTACAACTAGTCTCACCCTCCTTTTCTGAACTGTTGCTCCCTCATTACTGTAAACTCACTGTAAGTTTTCTATTTAACCTTTTGAGTTATTGTTAATTTGATCCCATAGACAGTTCTTTAAAACAGCACAATGCTCAAGGCAGACATTCAATTTTTATTTTTTTTTAAATGATACTTCTACTTCCTAATACTAGATTTAAGCCTCAGTATTGACTTAAGGAGCTCTGTTAGCATAGCGCCTAAACCACTTGACTGCTCACCAGAAGGCTGGTGGTTCAAACCCACCAGCCACTTATCGGAAGGAAGGTTGGGCAATCCTACTTCCGTAGTGATACTACCTCAGAAACCCAAGGAGGGGTCGCTATGAGTCGGGGCCGACTCGACGGCAAACAACAACAATAACAACATTGACTTACCACAGGAAAACTGCTTAAAGAATTTAATAACATTTCATAGTACTATAAAAGGAGTTTGTAGGGCTTTCTAATGTCCCAGTTCTTGACCTGGGTGGTAGTTACATGGGTGAGCTTGTGATAAATTACTGAAATGAACACTTAAGATCTGTACACTTTTCTGAATGTTATACTTTGGTACAAAAATAAAAATAAACAACAAAGGGGTAGGTGATACCAAAAAGAACCAAGCTAATTTACTGTGCAAAACTTCAGAATAACTTGGGAATTAAAGGCACCAGGTATGACAAAAGGAACACGTGGCTCAGGGGAACTGAAAACAGGAAGAATGTTTAAAAGTGCTTACAACAGTTAAACACTGTCTCACAATGCCATGCCCTGAGAGGAGGACAGGTTTATAGTTTGGAGAAATCAAATTTGATATATTTTGAATTCAGGGGTCTCAGGCAGAGAAAGGAGGCAAGGGTTGAAGGGGGTGGTAGAATGCCACAAGGAAATCAAGGATACTAAAAGAAAAGTCTGCATCCTCAATGGTGAGATCCTCATATCCCCCAAATCTGCCTCCACAATAATAGTCAAGCTTATATCAAGCTTGGAGGATCATTCTTTGAACAAACTAAATCGTAAACTGCTTGAGGGAAAAGAACTATAGGTACTAAATCAAAAGACTCCAAAATGAAAAGCCACCTTTTCCAGTGTAGTCCAACAGCAAATAAGGTCTAGTCACTCATATAACTTCCAATTAGCCTTTCTGAATCCCAATCAAATATGCACAGAAATAACAGAAAGCCTCCTAAATATAACACATAGACAGTAACAACAAAAATCTCAGGCAAACAGAAAATGCAGAGAACCAAAGAAAAATTAGCAAAAGAAAACCATAAATATTGAAATAATATTTTGTAGACATGAAATAGCAGGATGCTATGAAAAAGGGAAAAAAATCATAGAAAAAAGAGGAAATTTTAGAAAACACAATTTGATTGTCAAAATTAAAATCTACAAGAAAGGTTAGAAGAAAAAGTTGAGGAAATTCCCCAGAACAACAGGGTAGAAATGATAAGAAAATTTGAAGGTCAGTATAGATCAGTGTTTCTTGACCTTGCATTTATCACCTCCCTAAAGAGCCTTTTTAGATCTTTTCAGTCTACAGTAAAGTGGTTTACTCCATTTGGACAACAGAAAAATCAGTTCTCTAATGCTACATTACTTTAAGTCTAAGTTTTAAATACCATTTATGTAAACCATTTTTTTCCTTTCATGAGTACTCACAACCTAAGCTTCTTTACCAAAAAACAAAACAAAACAAAACAAAACAAAACAAAAAACCAGCACACTGAAAAAAATTTAGCAAGCTGTCAAACTATTATGAAATCTAATTTTATCAACCCAACTCTTTACCTAGTATAGAAGCTCTGCCACTTCCTGGTGATTCTACTTCTTGTATAGCACTAAGTTCATGCTGGTTCAAGTCTAATCCACATTTAACTTTTGCTAGAGGCGGCTTTGAGGATCTCCTACCCAGTTCTTTGTCCAAATGTTCACCTATAAAGTCAAGGACAAGGTTCGGCATAATAAATATCTATTAACATACTATAAACTTTTTTTCAATCAGGAAGATGCAGTGGTAAAAGCCATGAAAAATCAGCAGAACAATTACAATAAAATGTTAGAAATAGTCTTACCACTTTGTTTGGTAGTGATCTCTTCTGAAAGCAGTTGATTATCATCAGAGTTGCTTCTATCTGCATGATTAACATCTTCCTGATCATTTCCTGAGAGGTCTTGGAGATGAGGAAACCACTCTCTAAGCTGCTCCATCTTCTGGGTTTTTAAATCATATTCAAATACAGGCTTACCCGTCTGAAAAAATGGACAGGTGAGGGAACGACACAGGAGGAGGGATCATCTGAAGAACTCTTCTTAAGATTTACAACACCTTTTTCTTAAATTAGAACCTCAACCAAAGAAATAGTTCCATCAATCACACAATTGCAACTTTATCCATAGATTAAAAAAAAAAAGGTATGTTTCCAATATTCAAAGAGTGGTATTTCCATTAAAAAGTATAATCAATCCTGGATCTAAAAACATAGCCTCCACTCTACCTGTTCAAGGTAATGAAAAAGTTTTGCAAACAGTAGAGACAGTTGCAAAACACTGTGAATGTAATCAATGTCACTGAATTATACACTTAAAATGGTTAAAATGACAAATTTTGTTATATATATTTACAGTGAATTTAAAAAACAAAAACTGTTCTAGATCTAGTATTAATACTAATATTTACTTCATGAGTCAGGTTACTTCTATCGTTTAATTCTTAATACTCAATTTGAAAACATTACCTGACTGTCTTTAAAGAAATCCTTCAAAGTCTCTTGATGTTTCTCTATCTGCTGCTGCAATGCTGCTTGCCTCTGCATAAGCAATTCCTCTTGGGCTTTTTGACTGTAATTCAGAGCTTCTCTTTGTAGATGCAACTGCTTCTGAAGTCCCAAGTTATCTTGCTGAACTAAGATAGGCTGTGAAACACTCAAAATATCTTGCAATTTTGGGATCATAAAATTGCTTGAGGGAGTTTTATGTTCATTGTTGGATGAATACAATTCACAAATTCCTTTAGATTTAGCTTCAGCAAAAGGTAATGAAATAAATGAATGTTCTGTCTCCTTTGGGAAAGACAAAGCATGCTTAGAAGATTCACTTTCGCTCACCTTGCTTTGTTTGTTTAAAAACAGTTCTTCCTGGGTTTTCTCATTAGGACATACCCTTTCCTTTTGTAAGTTCAACTGTTCTTGAAATGCTACCAAATTATCTTGTTGAGGGAGAACAGACTGGGATAAACTCAAAAGCCTACCAGGTATTCCTGGAATCTCAGGATGACTGGAGGGAACAGTGTTGTTACTTTTGGTTGGGAAAGGCTCTTGGGTTCTTTCAGAGGCAGCAGTAGGCAGTACTACCTGGGGTAAGTGTGAAGAGGACCCAACCTGCTCAGATGATATTCTTTTCTCCAAATTACTTAGTCTCTGTAAAAGCAATTCTTCTTGGGCTTCCAATGTAGATTGAATGGCTCTTCTTTGTACATCTAACTGCTCTTGAAGTGCCTTCAAATCACCTAAGTGAGGTTGGATAAACTGCTCACAAGATACCTTTTGCTCAAATTTATATTGTCCAGGCAAAACCAATTCTTTCTGAGTCTTCTCACTAAAAGGAAGGAGATTTGACTGTGCTTGCAAGTGTTGTTGAAGTGCAATCAAATTATCTTGTTGAGGTAAAACAGGCTTTGACAAATCCAAAAACCTATCAGAAAATCTTTGTATCTCAGAATGACTTAAGGAGACTATATTATCACTCTTAGTTGGACAAGATTCTTGGATTCTCTCCAATTCAGTAAGAGGGGATAAAGCAAATGAATGCTGGGTTGCTAGGGGTAACAAGGATGGGGTAGCAACCTGCTCAGCAGATACTCTTTCCTTCCATCCACTCTGTAATTTTTCCTGAGCTTCCCTTCTAGATTGAACAACAGATTCTCTCTGTGTAGCTAACTGTTCTTGAAGTGACTTCAAATTATCTTGTTGAGGCTGGATAAGCTGTGATATCCTCAAAAGCCTATCTTGCAATTGTGGGATCTGAAAATGGCTTGAAGGAATTTTACTATCACTGTCTATTGAGATAGGTTCCTGGATAGTACCAGATACAGCAGAAGGTAAGGAAGTATACGAAAGCTGTCCCAACTGGGGTATGAATGAAGAGGAACCAATTTGTTCAGAAGATGTACTTTCTTGAGCTTTCTGGCTGAAATTAAGAGCTCTGTTCTCTGTAACTAGCCATTCTTGTCGTTCTTCCAAATTATCTTTTAAAGGAAATATTTGTTGTGAGAGCCTCAAATGTCTTTCCTGAAATCTTGGGTTCACAGAATGGGTCAAGGGAACCGTACTGTCACTCTTGAGTGACATAAATTCCTGCGATCTTTCTGATTCAGCTACCTGTAATAGGGATGAAAAGGGGGCAGCCTGTTCAGAAGAAAACCTTTTGTCCAATTCACTGTGTTTATGTACAAATTCCCGAGTTTCCTGTTTAGTACCTTGTATTACCCTCTGTATGTGTGATTGTTCCTGGAGTGTTGTCAAATTTTCTTGCTGTGGAAAACTAAGAGACCTGTCTTGAAATGTTGGGATGACGAAATGATTTGAAGGAATTAGATTTTCATCAGATAAACAAAGCTTCTGAACCCTTCTAGGTTCAGCTCTAGCTGAAGTAACTGAATCTTGGGCAATCACTGTTGAGAATGAAGAATTCATCTGCCCAGACTTACTGACCTCCACATCCTTTTGTCTTTGTAGAAGAAACTCTGCCTGGGCTTCATGCCGAGCCTGAAGAATACTCCTCTGTGTAGTTAGCTGTTCTTGGAGCAACTTTAACCTATCCTGCAGAGGTAGGAACTGCTGTAGGAAACTTGAAGACCTATCTTGAGATGTTGGGATCTCAGACTGGCTTGAGAGGACTCTGTTCTCACTCTTTGATGAATATTGCTGCTGGATTTTTCCAGATGGTATTTCAGCAAAAGATAATGAAGTAAATGTATGCTGAGCTTCCTGAGATGGAAGAGTAGAGGATGTAGCCTGCTCAGAAGACACCCTTCCATCCAATTCATTCTGTTTATGCATACATAATACTTCCTGGGCTTCCCGTCTAGCCTGAAAATTATCTTGCTGAGGTAAGTTAGACTGTGATAAACTCAAAAGCCTATCCTGAATTTGTGGGACCACAGGATGATGGCCCAAGTAAACTGTTGTATCACTGTTGGTTAAAGAAGAGTCCTCAGTTCTCTCTAATTCAGCTTTGGCAGAAGGCAGTGAAGTAAATGAATGTGAAGCTACCAATGGAATAAATAAAGGGAGGCCAGTTTGCTCTTCCAATTCTTTCTGTTGGTGCAAAAAGAGTTGTTCCTGAGATTCCTGTCTTGCCCGGAGAACTTCCTTTTGTAGCTCCAATTGTACTTGGAGAGCCTTCAAATTACCTTGCTGGGCTGTGATACGCTCTGAAAATGGCAAAGACCTATCCTGCATCTGGCTGATTATAGAATGCCCTAAGGAAAATGCACTTTTGCTCTTAGTTGAAAGGGCTTCCTGGCTTCGTCCAGATTCACCTTTAGCAGGGAGAGAACTAAAAGAATGCTCAGCTACCAGTGGTAGAAATGAAGAGGGTTCAGTCAGCTGAGAAGACTTACTTTGACTATTTTCTGAGTACATCTGTTGGGAGCCTAAAGTTTGAAAAGTTGTTGCCCTGGATGTTTCAGATATTTCTCTAGCATCCTGAAACATTAGTGGCCTATCATGTGACAAAGGCCTTGAAAGTCTGTAAGAATCTTCAGGGATCAATTTATAGTCTCTCTGTTGTGTTTCAGTCTGTGAGTATAACTTCAGATGTTCCTGTGATTCCAAAGACTGCTTGGCTAAAACATCTGAAGTGCTTAACGTTTCCATTGTTTCTACCTGTCTCTGTGAAAAGAGACTCTGTTTTGGTATCTGAAAATGACTTTGTTCTAATTTGGAGATCTCTGTGGGTTGATATTTGTTAGGACTCAACTTAGGTTTCTGACTTTGATCCCAATGCTCTGATACAATAGTGGACCTTTCAGATTTCTGAGGTTGTACTGATGTAACAGAATCAGCTGTCAATGATGTGGCTGACATGGGTAGGTACCTTTCTTTTAACATAGTCTGATATTCGTTTAATTGTTTCCTGGCAGCTTCAACAGATTGTTTGTGTAACCTACCAAAAACAAACAAACATTGTTCTTTTATGATGGAAAAAAAAAAGTCCCTTATTCTCAATACAATTAAGTCTATACATTAAATATATAACAAATAGCAGTCTAGAGTTGGCTATAATCATAATCACAGTCATAATCATAATCAAAGAAATGACTCTCATACTGCCATATATTAGAGAAATCTATAAGCCATAGTTCTAAGGGAACCCCAATTAGATCCTCATATATACTAAATAATAAATTCTGAAGATGTAACCACACACAATCAAATATAAATTGTATCCTAGCTAATACCTGTTTTGTTCTAAAAGCTGATGTTGATAGTTACGAATCATCTGCCTATGACTATCTTCATCAGAAATTATGGTGCACGGTGCTGGAGCAAAGCTAACCTAATAAAAGACAACACAATAATTAGAAGGCAAATTCAGAAAATAGCACTAAAGTATCTTATATCTTACATAAACTGAAGTTCCAAAATTGTAAACTTCTATAGAACTTTGTTTTTAATAAAAAGACTGGCACTTCCCATTACAGTATTAAGAAAGGAAGTAATCCATTGTTGTCCCTTAGTGCCAAGTCTAAGTAAGAGCTCAATATACGTATTACACACAAATCATGGTTATATACACTGGTACCCAGAGAAACTGAAAGATGAAAGGCATTAGGTTAGTGCATACTTATATTATAAAAGGAAAAAAATGACCAAATGAGATTAGAAAGACATTTTAGTTTTCTGAATGCGAAGTTGCTCATATTTTTTGCCTCCCAACAATCTAGGAGAGATGAGATTTCATATATCCTACCCCAGTCTGTTGAGTTTTTTTTCTTTTTTCTTCTTCTAGTTGAGCCTTGAAGCAGTCAGTTTCTAATCTTAATTTCTGTTGTTCAATTTGTTCAAGTAATTCCAATTGCTTTTGCTTCTGCTCTTCTATTTCCATTATCTAGGCAACAAAAATGCCACTGAGCTATTAACAACAAACTCACACACATAAAAGTTTACATGCATTACATTAAAAGAAACTATTTTTAGCACCAAGAGTACAATTATCCAAGAAGTAAGTGCTGGTCTTTTCCTCTGCTGTTGCCACTGTCAGAGACAGGAAGCAAGTGAGAGACGGGATGGGGGGGGAAGGAGAAAAAAGGAGAGAAATAAAACAAGGCAGAAGAAGAAGGAAAAATAAATACATTAACTCTTTATATTACTCAGCCATACTGTGTCCACATTTGACTTTACATTGTTCCCAGTACACAATAATGACTGCGGAAATTAAGTATCAAGGTCTCCTAAAACATTGTGATCTCAGGCATACCCTGAGTAACAGTTTAGGCAGTTACCTAAAAGCTAAATAATAATACAATGAGCAACATTCTGTGTCTTTTCTGTCATTCACAGAATATATGGGGAAAAAAAGGCAAATGGCAAAAAGATGACAATGTCTAATATTATACACACATACATACAAAGGATTAAAATACTAAGAACATGCCAGAGTAACTCTAAGTTTCATGAGAACAAACAGGGACTATGTCTGCCTACTAAATTTAGCACCTAGTACAGTACCTGATGCAAGTAGGCACTTAATAAACATTTACCAAATAGAAAAAGGAATGCATGCAAAGTTTTATAAAGAGAAGCACTGCTACCAGAGATATTTAAGAAATGACCTTGTTTTTTGAAATACACAATTGTCTCAGCTTGATACTCTAACAGTCCTTTCTCTAACCTGGAAACAGTAGCAATAGCTGAGCTACTGTCTTCAGCTTCCTTCCTTCTCTCACTTACAGGATCTACTGAATTTGGATGGTTTCCAGTTCTGTTGTATCACTAGAACTGTACTATCAACACAGTAGTCACTAACCAAAAACCCACTGCATTTTCATCATCATAGAAAGTTTTACTGGAGAATATTACTCTAGATTATGAAATAGAGGACATTTACCTCAGAAGAAATAGTGGCTGATAGAATTTTTACTGCCCAAATACATTTTTGTAAAAACTATGACTATAAACTGACTGGTTTAATAATTAGCCCCTGGCTTAGTAATAATCAGAAATTGTTTAAAAACCTTTATTAAAAGTAGATGAGATGAGTGAGTTTCTATTAAAGGTGATGAAAAGTGTTGGAAATGGATAGTGGTGACTGCTGCACAACACGGAGAACATGACCAATGTCAGTGAATTATATAGTTACAGATGGTTACAACAGCAAATGTTTTGCTAGAAAACAAGAGACTAAAATTATAGTTAAAGACACTTAATTTTCAATTTTTCTTATGAAATACTATTTTTCAAAAACTTTTAGGATTACAAGGTCTAGTTGTCTAATATTACAACAAGGTACTCAATTAGTCAAGAATTTTTTATTGGGCATTTACTAAGTATAAAGAAAGCAATATACCATAAACTAAACTGAACTTAAAAAAAAAAAAAAGGTGGTTGCTTCCTTTAAGAACTTGCACATTTTACAGGGAAGATACTCTTGGGTGGTGCAAATGGTCCATGTGCTTGGCTGCTAACTGAAAAGCTGGAGGTGTGAGTCCACCCAGAGGTGCCCTAGAAGAAAGGCCTGGCAATCTACTTCCAAACACTCAACTGCTGAAACTGCGAGAGCACAGTTCTTCTCTGACAGATGGTGCAGAACTGACTCAACTGCAACTGGTCAGGGTACACACAAAAGTACAAAATACACGAAAAAAATGCAGAATGAAGTAAGTATAAGGTAGACTGTTCAAGCCATGCATGAAGTACCATCTATCAGTTAAATGTCTGTGTAAGACATGGTAAAGAGATGTATCAAAAGTAGCCAGACATTAAGACAAACTTCATTGATCAAACAAAATTTTAGTATCTAAAGGAAGAAGGAAATCTTTAAAATCAGAATTTCAAATTACCTGTTTCTGCTTTGCTGACATTCTAATTCTGGCGGCTTCTTCCTGAGGGTGAAGTAGAACTGGATTCTCAGCTACAGTTGTGATAGGTTGAGTTGCCACTTCTAAGAGAATTTCCCAAACAAAAACGAGTTTCAACAATTTAGAATTTGGACACCCCTATATGTCCTTTCATTAATTTATTACATTAAGTTTATTAGAAAAAAGATGTAAAGAATCAAGCAAATTTAATTTCAGGATATGATAAAAAGAAATACCTTGTTGCTTTTCAGCGTCAGTGCTGCATGAAAGTGGCTTGTCTTCAGTAGGAAGTGGCCCTGACTCAACTGTTAGTGCATCACTTTCAGTAACTATAAAAGATACCATTGTTATCATCAACATATTCTTATTGTCAAGCTCATATCTAAAGCAAACAATAAAACCGAAATTAGCATTAAGGTTAACAATTCAATTTTGGTCCACCTGAATGTCTTACTTAGTCATGATCCAGTCATTTTCCTGAAGAACAGGTATATTATCCATTAAACCCAAGCCTGATCAATCCAGGAAGATTCAAAGAGTAAACAAAAAGTAAAAATGTGAAGAACTGATTAAAAAGGCAAGCACACAGGGTTTCAAACACAATGGAAAGGATAAAAGGAGTAGAATAAACAAAGCACTATAGCTAAAAAAGAGAAGATAGAGAAATGTCAACATATCTTCGACATATTTAGATACTGGGATTTGTATTATTTATGAAAGCAGATCAAAGAAGGAAGTTAAAGCAATTTACTATGATCCTATCAAAGTAGCCAGAAACTCTGCATCAATTATTTATTGCTTCACTCACTTTTCATTCTGCACCTACTTGTATGTTAGATGCTAGGGACATGAGGTATATAAGAAAAGCCTTCAAGGAGTGAGGGAAAGAAACTTTATATAATAACCCCTAGAAAAATTATAAAACTAGAAAGTGTGATAAGTACTGCTGTTGTTGTTAGGTGCCGTTGAGTCGTCTCCAATGCATAGCAACCTTATGCCCAGTAGAACGAAACACTGCCCGGTCCTGTGGCAGCATCATGATCCTTGCTACACCTGAGCCCATCATTGCACCCCCTGTGTCAATCCATCTCGTTGAGGCCTTCCCCTTCTTCATTGACCCTCCACTTTTCCAAGCATGATATCCTTCTCCAGGGAATGGTCCCTTTCGACAATGTGACCAAGGCAGGTGGGACAAAGTCTGGCCATTCTTGCTTCCAAAGAGCATTCCGGCTGCACTTCTAGGACAGATTTGTTAGTCCTTTTAGCAGACCATGGTACTGTTAGCATTCTTCCCCAACACCACAACTCAAAAGCATCAACTCTTCTTTGGTCTTCCTTATTCACTGTCCAGCTCTCACATGCATAAGAGGTGATTGAAAGTACCATGGCTTGGGTTAGGTGTGCCTTAGTCTTCAAAGAGACATCTTTGCTCATCATCTTTTGCAGCAGATTTGCCCAATGCAATACGTTGTCTGATATCTTGACTGCTGCTTCCATTGGCATTGATTGTAGAGCCACGTAATATGAAGTCCTTGACAATTTCAATCTTTTCTCCATCCACTGTGAAGCTGTTTATTGGACCAGTTGTGAAGATTTTTGTTTTCTTTATATTGAGGTGTAATCAATACTGCAGACTATAGTCTTTAACCTTCATCAGTAAGTGTTTCAAGTCATTCTCACTTTCAGCAAGCAATGTTGTCATCTGCATTATCGCAGGTTGTTAATGAGTCTTCCTCCATTCCTGATGCCATGTTCTTCATATAATCCGGCTTCTCAGATTATTTGCTCAGTATACAAGCTGAATAATTACGGTGAAAGGATAAAACCTTGACACACTCCCTTCTTGATTTTGAACCATGCAGTATCCCCTTGTTCTGTTCAAAGGACAGCCTCCTGATCTATGCACAGGTTCCTCATGAGTACAATCAAGTGCTTTGGAATTCCCATTCTTCTCAATGTTATCCATAATTTGTTATGATCCACACAATCAAATGCTTTTGCAAAGTCAATAAAATGTACGTAAACACCTTTCTGGTATTCTTTGCTTTCAGCTAAGATCCATCTGACATCAGCAATGATATACCTCATTCCATGTCCTCTTCTGAATCCAGCTTGCATTTCTGGAAGCTCTCTGTCAATATATTGCTGCAACCATTTTTTGAATTATCTTCAGTAAGATTTTACTTGCATGTGATATTAATGATATTGTTCAATAATTTCCACACTCTGCGGGATCACCTCTCTTTGGAATGGTTACAAATACGGATCTTTTCCAGTCAGTTGGCCAGGTAACTGTCTTTCAAATCTCTTGATATAACTGAGTGAGTGCCTCCAGTGGGGCATCTGTTTGCTGAAACATCTCAATGGGTATTCCGTCAATTCCTGGAGCCTTGTTCTCTGCCAATTCCTTCAGTGCAGCTTCGACCTCTTCTTTCAATACCATTGGTTCTGGATCATATGCCACCTCCTGAACTGGATAAACATTGACCAATTCTTTTTGGTTACAGTGACTCTGTGTATTCCTTCCATCTTCTTTTGATGTTTCCTGCATCATTCAATATATTGCCCATAGAATCTTTCAATATTGCAACATGAAGCTTAAATTCTTTCCTCAGTTCTTACAGCTTGAGAAATGCTGAGCGTGTTCTTCCGTTTTATTTTTCTAACTCCAGGTCTTTGCATGTTTCATTATAGTAACTGGCTTTGTCTTCCTGAGCTGCTCTTTGAAATCTTCTGTTCAGCTCTTTCATCTTGTCATTTCTTCCATTTGCTTTAGCTATTTCCATTCAAGGGCAAGTTTCAGAGTCTCTTCAGATATCCATTTTGATTTTTTCTTCCTTTCTTGTCTTTTTAATGACCTCTTGCTTTCTTCATGGATGATGTTCTTGATGTCATCCCACAGTTCCTCTAGTTTTCGGTCACTGGTGTTCAGTGCATCAAATCTATTCTCTAAATGGTCTCAAAATTCAGGAGGAATATTACCAAGGTTATATTTTGGCTCTTGTGGAGTTGTTTAATTGTCTTCAACTTCAACTTGAACGTGCATATGAGCAGTTGATGGTTTGTTCCACAATCAGCTCCTGGCCTTGTTTTAGCCAAAGATACTGAAATTCTCCATTGCCTCTTGCCATAGATGTAGTCAATCTGTGTATTCCTGTATATTCCATCTGGTGAAGTCCATGTGTATAGCTGTTGCTTATGTTGTTGAAAAAAGGTATTTGCAATGAGTAAGTCATTGGTCTTGCAAAATTCTATCATGTGATCTCCAGTGTCATCAGTGATAATCGACACATCTTGATTGCATGTTTGGTCAATTTCAGACTGCAGAAGTTGGTAGAAATCTTCAGTTTCCTCACCTTTGGCTTTGGTGGTTCGTGCATAGATTTGAATAATGGTAGTGTTAACTTGTCTTCCTTGTAGGCATATGGATATTATCCTATCACTTATAGCACTGTACTTCAGGACAGATCTTGAAACAGTCTTTATGATGATGAATACCACACCATTCCTCTTTAATTTGTCATTCTCAGCATAGTAGATCATATGGTTGTCTGACTCAAAATGGCCAACACCAATCCATGTCAGCTCACTAATGCCTAGGATATTGATCTTTACACATCCCATTTAATTTCTGACAACTTCCAATTTTCCTAGATTCATACTTCGTACATTCCATGTTCCAATTATTAATGGATGTTTGCATCTGTTTCTACTCATTTTGAGTCTTGCCACATCAGCCAATGGAGGTCCCAAAAGCTTTACTCTATGCGTATCATTAAGGTTGTCTCTACTCTGAGGAGTCAGCTCTTCCCTGGTCAAATTCTGAGCGCCTCCTGACCTGATGGGCTCATCTTCTGGCACTATATTGGACAATGTTTCATAAAGTTATCCAGTAATATATCAGACAGTGTTTCACTGCTATTCATGAGGTTTCCATTGGCCAATTGTTTGAGAAGTGGATGGCCTCTTCCTTCTTCCGAGTCTGTGTTAGCCTAGAAGCTCTGCTGAAACCTGCCACCATGGGTAACCCTGCTGGCATTTTACAACATAGCCTCCAGCCTCACAGCAACACATAAGCCACCATAGGATGACAAAGTGACAGACAAGTTTATCTCCCTCAGTTGTTCCTAACCCCTCTGCACCTGCCTACCTGGATTCCCAGCCTTAAAACAGAGCCACCCCCAAGCAAAAAAGCAGCTCCTGAGCCCCACGCCCACCTACCTTGGTCCCTGGCATTAAAATAGAGCCACCCCCAAGCGAAAAGCAGCCCTAAGCCCCACGCTCCACGATAAGAACTATGTAAGACCAAAAAAAAAAGGGATTATACAATACAGCAATGAACCAACCAAACCCACTCCCATCAAGTCAGTTTTGATTCATACTGACCCTACAGAACAGAGTAGAATTGTCCCGTAGGGTTTCCAAGGCTGTAAATCTTCATGGATAAACATCGACCAATTCCTGTGTAGCAGTTTGTTGGTTTTGAACCACTGACCTTTTGGTTAGCAGGCAAATGCCTTAACCGCTGTGCAACCACAGCTCCTTCCATAGGGGAATAATAATAATAATAACAACAACAATAACAATAATAATAATGATAGGGGACTCTGAATTAAACTGGTGGGTCAGGTGAGATTTCTCTGAAAAAATGACATTTAAGCAACCCTCTTAAAGGTGAAGAGGAATCAGCTAGGTAAAGCATGTGGGAGTATGTAGAAGACTTTTCCAGAAAGACAGAGCAGAAGGTATGAAAACCCTGTGAGGATTTAAAAAAAAAAAAAAAAAAGTGGCCCATTCAAGAAACTAACAGGTTGGTATACATGGCGTATAGTAAGAAAGGGGGAGCTCTGGTAGCGTAGTGCCCAAAGCACTTGACTGCTAACCAGGAGGCTGGCGGTTCAAACCCACCAGCCACTCTTCGGAAGGAAGGGTCGCTATGAGTTGGGTCCAACTCTATGGCAAATATCAACATCAACAGCATAGCAAGATGAGGTTGGAGAGAGCCTTATCACACAGGATCTTTTTCAAAAGAACTTGATTATGGATTAAATGCGAAAGACCTCCTTCTCCCCTTTTTGGCTTCCCCACACCATATTCTCTCTCCTACTTTTCTGGCTACTCCTTTTTTTTTTAAAAAAAAAATCACCTTTGCTGTTCCCTCTTCCTTTAGAGATCTAGCCTAGAAATATACATTCAGTATATAAAGTCATGACATTAGAGGAGATCAAACAGGGAATGATGATGCAGAGAAGAGATGTAAAGAGCAAGCTCAGGGGCAATGCTTAGTGGTTGTACAGATGAGGATAAAGAACAAAGGACACCATGAGGGAGGAGCCAGTGAGGAAGGAAAACCAAGAGAGGGTGGTGTCAAGAGGCCAATTGAAGAAAACAGTTCAAGAAGGCTTCTGATTATATTTAGGACAAAAGGCAAAATCCAAATATGGACTCTAAGTCCCTGCCTTCTTTCAGAAGCCAGGTAGCAAAACATTTCCTCACAAATTCAATTATATCTTTAAATCTAACACTTAAAGGAAAACACAAAACAAAAGACAGTTACATCATCACAATCCTCATTTACTTGTACGTAACTTAAAAAGGAGATACTGCTGGTTTAATCTTTGTAACTTCTGGAAATATGATATTTAACAAGTTATTTATTTACCAAAAAAAGTTCTTTTAAATTAACAAATAAAGAAACCAAATATCTGGTGGAACATGAAATAAACACAATACAAAACACTAAAAAGCCATTAACATTTCATATCCTTTGATCTAGGAATCTTTCTTTTAATGGTTCATCCTAAGGAAATAATTAAAGATGTGGGCAAAGACTTCACTATAAGGTGCTTACTGCAGCACAAGAAATAGCAAGAATAACTGGAAACTGTCTAAATGTCTTAATAGGAAACTGATTAATTTTGGTTTATCAATTACACTAGAATATATATAAGAATTATATACTATAATTAATATATATGAACAATAATAATATGTTGAAAGTTATCTGGAAAGAGTTTAAGGTTTTTAGGATTTGTTGCTTGTAATTAGTAGGATTATGGGCTTTAACGTTCTTTTCTTTCTTTTGACCTCTACTCTTTTTTTCAGGAATGAGCATATTTTAAAAAAATTTTCAAAAGGGTTTGTGTGCTATAAAATGAGGCTATTGGAGGGACTCACCTTGTTCCTGCCCAGGGGCTAATGTTTGCTCTTCACTGGCAATTGTTCCTGTAGACACTGTTGGTGTTTTACTCTCAGTTTCGCTCACAGCTGTAATGGTCTCACTTTCATCCTCAGACATGGATTTAATTGTCCAGAGAGATTTTTGGCTTCGGATTTTATTTAATAATTTTTTAAAAAGAATTTTTGAAGGGACCTGTTGAGTCTTCATTGCCAAGGGAACTGAAAGAACGAAAAAAAAAAAAATCCACAAAAACAAACACACCTTACTCAGCACCTATTATAGATCAGGCAAACTGTTCTATATTTACCTTTAGTTACGCCTACAACTATTATTGAAAGCAAAAACATAACTCCATGTTTCTCAATATTTACAATTTAACAGTATAAAGCTAAAACCAAACCCACTGCCATCAACTCGATTCTGACTCATAGCAAACCCCACTGGGTTTCTGAGGCAGTAAATCTTTACGGAAGTAGACTGCCCCGTCTTCCTTCCACGGAGTGGCTGAAGGGTTTGAACCACCAACCTTCTAGTTAGCAGTCAAATGCATTAGTCACTGTGTCACCAGAGCTCCTTATTTAACAGTATACACAACATTACTTGATCCCAGTTACAATTTTATAACCAGAAATACTTTTTTCAACTTAAATAGTAAAGGTGCAAAATACAATCATTTTCCAATATAAATTTAAAGCTTAAAAAAACTTATCTGGTTTCTGGAGCCATGGAGTCTAGATGAACTCCTGAAACTTGCTCTGAACTTACCTTCAACCCAAAAATATTCCCTGAAGCCTTCTTAAAACCAACCAACACTTTGGCTTAACCAGTAAAGATTAACTGCCTTGAGCACTTGTGCTCTTTTAAGATCTATCTAAATAGGATCAAAATGACAATAGCAGTTCTAAAGATTAGACAGGCAGTTTATGTTAACAATGGAGGAACAACTTGGAAAAGGAGGGTAAGTCTGGTTGCATTACTCAAACATCACTGAATTTTTCAATGTAATCAATGTCACTGAATTGAACATACAAAAATTGTTGAACTGGTATATTTTCTACTGTGTATAATCTCAACAACAAAAATTAAATATATTAAATATATAAAAACAATTGTCAGAAAGATGCTAAAGCAGCTTGCTAACTGGTGACAGAATGGATACCTACAAATGAACTGGTGGGTAAGATTAGTATTTGAAATATGTGCTTTAAGGTTCTATACACTTCATGCTACAGAGGAGTCCCAAATATGATTCTGTATTTCTTAGTAGCTTATAGAGGAAAACTTCACCAGTTATAACCTTAAAAGTAAACCAATTGCTCCCAAATTGTTCTTGGTACTATTTGAGGAAAATTTCTCCTACCTATCTTCATAAATAGATCCCTTTTCAAAAAAATCATGTTTCTAACAACTTTCTTCCATATGGGCTGATGTGTACAACCAGAGGTTAGAGGTTTTAATCTATTCACAGGGGCCTTGGAGAGCAACTTTTGAAAAATCAGTGACAGAAAACCTATGTGGGGTCACCATGAGTCAGAATCACGGTAGCTAGTTTAGTTCTTGGCTAAGAGGATAAAATTGTTTCAAGTATAGTATCCTAACTTAATCAAGGAATAAAATTCAAGAGTATCTAGAGGGTGTTTTTAACTTTCTAATTGAGCTACAACTCAAAACCTAAATGCTTTCAATGAGTTTCACCCAATCACCGGTCCAAACACCATCCAGATCATCACATGGACTATTTCCAGCACTTAGAATCCTCCACCATGACACCTACCAGGCAATATTACCCTTAAAGATAACCACTATTCTAATTTCTAGCACCACAGATCAGTTTTGCCTGGTTTTTGTTTTGTTTTTTTAAACTCCATCTAAACAGGAATCACACGCTTTTATGACTGTTTTCTTTCATTTATCAGTAACTCACTGATTTTTAAGAAATCAGTAGTCACTGACATTTAAAACTAAGGATGTAAAAAGAACAATGATTAATTTCTAACAATCAAAAACCTGGCAACACCATGCCAGCAATCCCAAACGGGATTAGCTGGAACAGAGGAGTTACTACCCTTAGTGCCAAGATGTGGAGAAGCTAGAACCCTCAGACCCTCACACAGCGTTAGTATGAATGTAAAATGGCATAGCAACTTTGGAAACAGTTTGGCAGCTTTTTAATAAGTTACACATAAACTGACTAACAACACAGCAATTATCTACCAAAGCAAAATGAAAACATACACACACACACAGACTTCCATGTGAACATTCATAGAATTATCCATAACAGCCTAAATACAGAAACCACGCAAATGTCCATCAACTGGTGAATGGATTCATAAAATATGATATATAGCTCTAAAATGGAATATTATTCAGCAAATAAAAAAGAATGAAATGTTGATACATGCTATAATATTGATGAACTTCAAAGTGCTACATGAAAGAATTCTGACACAAATGACTACATATTGTATGATTTCATTTACTGGAAATTCTAGAAAAGCAAAACTAAGAGCCTGAAAGATCAGTGGTTGTCAATGGTCAAGGACTGAGGGAGGATGCTAATTACCAAGCAGTCCCAGGGATCTTCTTCTTTTGATGGAAAAGCTCTCTGTATCTACTGTGGTGGTTTTTATTCATTGTAAGTGAAATACGTCTTAATAAAGCCCATTTAAACAAGGTATAGAATTTATTGTGAGGGCCCACTAAAGTCATTCAAAGAGAGAAAGAGGAACAGGATTTGAGTTTCATTTGATAGGTCATTCTAGTTGCACTGTAGAGACTAAGACTGCAAGAAGGCCAATTAGGCTGCTGAAGCAATCCACGGAAGAAATGATAAGGTTTTCAGTGAAGCCAACAGTAGAAGACACGGGGAACAAAGGGTCAGAATGAAGAACTTTAATTAAAGGTCATTAATGAAATGTAAAGGTAATAGCGGGGGAGGTGTTAAAGGTAATTCCCACTGATCTGGTTTGAGCTCTGCAGACTGTGGCACCATTCACTAAAATAAGGAAGACCAGAAGAGAAGGTTTCAGTAGGCACGAGAAGATTATAAATTTATTGTTAAGACACTGTGAGTTTTAAAGTACATGTGGGACACACAGACCAAACCAAAACTCATAGCGACCCCTCCTTGGGTTTGAACTGCCAGCCTTCTGGTTAGCAGTCAAATGCCTTAGGTACTATGTTACCAGAGCTCCTTATGGGACACAAAGCCAAGTAAAAATTCAGAATGGTGGATATATAGATGAAGTTTAGAAGAGAGATTTAAGCATGAGCTATTCATCATGATATATGAAGTACCTAGCAATAACTGAACACCGTAGAATCTCACTGATGGTTTGATGAGTCTGGGAAAAAAAACGAATTTGGAATTGAGTACCTAATTTAAACAACTTCAAAATCATCAGAATACATATATACTTACACACATATATGTATATGGATGAATAAAAAACCTTACTCCTATGTATAGGAAAAGGAACTTTAATGACTAAAATTTGAAAATGTTTCCTTCTCCACCACTTCTATTAACTATTAGTCACTGTACTTAAATTAGATTTGATTTTTCTAATTGTGGGCTAATGATTAGCATTTTTTCCTGTAAAATATTGTTAACTCAGAAGGGTGTCTTTTTTTTTTTACCGTCTATTTTACTACGGCATATTTTTTCAGCTTCTGTCACTTGCAAATTCTTAGTTTCGTTTAAATCTTCTTGATCCACTGAAAGGTCCAGTTCCTCATCTTGGGTCTGATCGATCACAGTCGGCAAAGGCTCTGGTTCAAGTTGCAAAATCAGGTTTCCTTTCACCTCTCGATAAAAAAATAGACAGACGTGTTTCTATTCCAAAATGACTAAAAATAATTTAATCATAAGATATAAAGGCCATCATAGATTCTAAGTCTAAAATATGAGAGTCTTTTTCAAACCGAGAACTCAAAAATAAAAACTTCTGTATCATTACAAATATGTTTTCCCACCAAAACATTTAAAAGTACTGTTGAAAGTCTACTGAAAAAAGCTTACTCTTGTCTGCATTGTACATATCTTCAAAGGCAAATTCTAGCTCTCTCTGCCAGTCTTCTTTCATTTCACTGCGTTTGTATGGCAGCTCAACTAGCTGTGGTGCCATTCGTGCTACATTCTGTCTTCTACGGGCCAGGTCCTCTTGTTGTAGCTGTTTCAGTTCTTTCATTAATTTCTCTTGATTCTTTAGGAATAGAGAGAATTAATGACAGCTGAGTCAGAAACTTCTGACTATTAACACTTATAATGAAGGAAAAGTGAGGAAATAATGAGGAACAATAGCTCCCTCCCTCCTCTACCATTTTTTCTGCCACAAAAAGACGACAAATATTTACTGAATGCTAGATACCCTACATAATCTGTTCATCATAGGTAGGGCATGAAGGACAACAGTGGTTAAAGAAAAAGAAAGTTGAAGAGGTAGGTAGAAGCCAAATACTATTTATGATAGACACTAACAGGAAGTAAGGTACTAAGCCACATTAGGATTTGCAGCAAAAAGTTTAAGGCAGGGGAAAGGAAATTCTCTAATAGTAGTAAGATCACATGGTTTCAACATTAATTCTTATGTAAGAACTTATTTATATAATAAAGGAAGAGTGAGTGTTAAATGATAATATATATATATATACACTATTTATTCTTTTGTTAACTATTAAGTGTTTTGTTATTTGGGGATGAATTTCTTTTTTTTTTGCCATGCCCTTAAAATGAATCAAATTATGAACAAATTTACTCAATTTCATTAAATTAATTTCACAGTTCTTTGCATATACTATTCTAGCTCACTGAAAAGTTGACATATTCTTCTACTTGGATTATTTATGACACTGACCACCATCACCAACATTTACTGTGAGCTGATGAACTACCAGGCACAATTCTAAGAGTGCTCTACTAAACTTATCTAATCCTCACAAAACAGATGCTAAAATAGAGCTCAGAAAAGTTAAATGACTTGCTGAGAGCAAACAGCCAAATGGTGAAGAAGGGAGGCAAACCCAGGCAGACTGACTATGGAGCCATTTTCTCAACCAACTAAATGTTACTGCTTTTATGGAGAAATGTGTTCAATTTAAGATTGCTTTTCATTTACTTTTTTTTTTTTTACTATAGGCTTAAGTCTTAGATAAGGAGATTTATTGATAATAATTCAGGCATTCAGTTATTTTAGCCATAATTCACCATCAGTTATAAAAGCTAAAAATTGAAGAGCGGTTATAATTTAGTTCATACTACACAAATAAACTTTCATAAGACAGGCACTTAATTCCTATCAATTACTTAAAAACTCATTCCTAAGAGATGGGTTTAAAATATCAAAATACATTAGTCAAATTCAGAAAATAAAATCAGACTTCTAATAAGATGAATGGCTTTTATGCATGTTTTAACAATCAGAATTTCAAGAGCAATAAGCATGACAGAAATGAAGCAGTACATAAAACTGAAAAGCCAATTTTCATCATACATGTTTTGCGCAAGTATGTGGCAAAGTCACTTTTTCAAAGTATAAGCAAGGATAATGACTTTATCTTTGAATCAATACAAATATGATTGAATCTTCAAATTTAAGGAGCACAAATGCAATTCAAATAATTAAATTAGGAAACTGATTCAAATATATTAAGCTATTTATGGACAGATTAAAATATCAGATTCTTAATAAATTTACCATTAGCAAAATCTTCAGAGCACAGTGATATACTTTAAGTGTGAAAGTTTACCTAATCTGAACTTGAAATACACAGGCAAAGAAAGTGGGAAACTTGAGAAATCATGAATCAGGAGATAATATTTTCATACCCTCACACTTCCTTACTTTGAGCTCATTCACTAATCAGTTCTGCTAGTGGTCACAGCTAGAATATAATTCTTACTTGAGCCAAATGAATCTTTTTCATTGCGTGGAAACCTCGTACATGCGCTTTTTCAAACTGTTCCAGTCTCTCCTCTGCTATTTGTTTCTGTAGTACTTCCAAACGTTTAGCTTCTTCTTCAGCAGCCAAATGAGGATCTGGCTAGCAGTCAATCAATAACATTTTAGACAATTTAAAAATAAAATGTACCAAACCAGAGTCATATCTAAAAACCAAAACGACTGGTAAATCATGTTTGTCTCTGTGTATAAAATTAAAGAGTAAGAAGAGTTGTATTTTCAAATTCCCAGATAAATCAACAGCATACCTCTATGAAAAGGATCAAATTGAAAGTCATACAATAAAAAGACTTAGGTTGTTAATTTCAAACCCAGTTAGGCTATACTCATCTAAATTCTTCCACCTTTTGTTTTTTTTTATTAAGTAAAAAAATCCATCAAAAAGAAAATGTTAAAAGGTAAAGACCCACAAATCTAGCAGTTAGGAAACTACAAAAATAAAAATTCATGTAAATCAGGGCAGCACTGACATTTGGCTTTGGTTTACAGACAAAATCTGGGGTTCGGCTTTGGCCTCAGGAAGGCCAAATCACCAAAACATCTAATGTAATATCATTCCTGATTTTCTCAAACTTGTGTGTAAATAATGATTATGCCATTGCATAGCCATCATATCTCAGTTTAATAGCAGTAACACAAAAAAGCCAAGTAACCTGAATTTACTATTATTATCTGAACATTTACTTTCAAATATAATAAACATTCCAAATGTAATTTGGAATGAAAATCTCCTTATGTACTTTATATGTTGAAATTCTATCAGTCAGTTTGAAATAGTAATTAGTGATGCTTGTGAAAGCTATGAACTTCATATGAAAAGTAATAAAAAACTCTCAAACAGTGGGGAAATAGTAAAGAGATCAACAGTTCATACTATATTAAGAAAGGGTACACTGGCCAAAAAAGTTTATAAAAAATACTATCTCCTTTTTGAGTCAATAAACATCGATGCAATTCTAAATAATACCCAGAAGAATGACAAAAGTTAGATTATTTGTAGAATTATTTGGTATATTAACACATATAACATTAAACAAAATAATTTTTAATATTTAATCCATCTAGGCCGTGAGGTTTTCAAGAAAAAGTCCTTTAGGAATTCTTCACATATTTTGAGGGTGAATTAAAAACAGAATATTAAATAACATACAACATGCATGCTAAAGATCTTCAATCCAGACACAATAAAATATATAAAGGATATGAATAAAATAAAGGGTTACAAAAAAAATAAGGTATTCAAAACATATTTTGTTCTTACTGATCAAATTTCAAGATAAAATTTCACAAGAATGCTTTTGGGGAAAAAACAATCACAGAGTTTTGTGTCGATACAATGAAAAATTTAATTTAGAATCGGTTGAAGCTCTCATAGATTTCATTTTCAGTATCAGAAGATAAAAAAATATGTGAACTTTGCATAAACTGTGAATCCCAGGCCAAAAAAAAAAAAAAAACTACTTTTAGAAAATACATTTCTGAAAAACTTTTTCATTAATTATAATCTGCAGTGTACAAAATGGTAATGATATTAACTATTAAATACACTACTTCTGCATCTTATACATCAGACATTTGGACAGAAGTTTTTAAGTTGGACAGCATGATAAACTGATGATGAATTTAACTGTTTTGACTTTATGTGTCTGCAGACATTTATGGGTCTCATAGCAAACAATATAGTGGGCCTGATTTGGAGAAATATTTCTAGAACGAAATACCCATTTAAGAAAAAATAGCATGCCACTATTGTAGACAAAGGAATAAACATAATAAGGGATGAGTAATTCAGGAATTTCAAGCATATGATGTTCTGTTTAATTGTATGTAAAAGTAAACAGCACAACATAATTTAGAGAATTTACATAATTAAATAATTGTATTTTCGGCATGAGATGCAGATGAAGATTCAGAGATAATGTTGTTATCTTGAAAGGCAAGCACATTGCTCCATTGTCAAATTTCTAATACCAAGGTTTAAGGACAGGTTTTTCCTAATGGTAGCATAAAGCAACAAATAAAAAGAAAATATTGTATATAATAATTTTACATAAGGGAAGACAACAATCATAAGCCTGTTTCTGAAGATATTTAGAAAGCATCTTCTTTACTCAATATACAGAGCTATAGTTTGTGGGTCTGCTTTTGTAAGACTGCATTATAACTACTGCTCTAATCTTCGAGTCCAGAAATTGAAGAGGAGATAAGTCTTTTCATTACTATGAAAAAAGAAAGCTAATTAATGACAATGCAACAACATTAGCAATAACCATACCAATGGAGCTAGCAAAAAAAAAGAGAAGTCTTTCATCACCAATCTCTGTTAAAAGGAACATTGAATGTTGCAAAAATGTTGTATAGTGACCAGAATACAAATTGGGCAATTTATTCTTATATTCTAGAAGTTTATTCCATTCTGGTGATAGTGATCTTAGGTCAAGACTGAATATTGATATTAGCATCTGCTATTAATCAGTCTGGAGCTCTGGTAGTGTAATGCCTAAGGCACTTGACTGCTAACCAGAAGGCTGGCAGTTCAAACCCACCAGCCATTCCTCCTCAGAAGGAAGGTTGGGCAATTTACTTCCATAGTGATACTGCCTCGGAAACCCAAGGAGGGGTCGCTATGAGTTAGGTCCAACTTGACGGCATATAACAATAACAACGTTAATCAGTCAACCAAAATTATTATTGGTATATTTTAAACACCACATGAATGCTATATTGGGGAAGCTTACTTTCCTAGTAGCCAATTACATCTACAAACATGAGAGGGGGTGGGCTGGTGGTGGGAAGACACTGTTAAAAAAAAAAAGGCAATTGTAATTAATAACAAAGAGGTATCATTTATCACTCTTTAGGTCTGGCCATTTTTTTTTTTTTAACAATAAGCAAGTGTAGTAAGATGGCCATGCTCTTATACTGCTAATGCTTTTTAAAAGTCAATGTAGTGATCTGTATCAAGACCTTTAAAATATTTACCAATTAATTTCTCCTCTAGCAATCTATCCTAAACACAGATATTGTTAGGTGCCATGAAGTCAATAAAACATACAAGCTTGTTATGTTAACATTATTTAAAGAAAGAAAAAAATGAAATAGTAGAATGCTTAAACAAATTCTATGATGAAATATTAAGTGTTGTAATTATTATTTGCCATCGAGTTGGACCTGACTCATAGCGACCCTCCTTAGGTTTCCGAGGCAGTATCACTATGGAAGTAGATTGCCCATCCTTCCTTCCTAGGAGTGGCTGGTAGTTGTTAAAAATTATGTTATTAAAGAACATGCAAGAAATAAGAAACTGATCCAAAAATTGTGAAATGAAAAGAGGAATTTGTCAAACAGTATAATTTATATGCAGTCTTATAAAAGCAGACCCACAAACTATAGCTCTGTGTATTGAGTAAAGAAGATGCTTTCTAAATATTTTCAGAAACAGGTTTATGATTGTTGTCTTCCCTTATGTAAAATTATTATATATAATATTTTCTTTTTATTTGCTGCTTTATGCTACCATTAGGAAAAATCTGTCCTTAAACCTTTGTTTTAGAAATTTGACAATGGAGCAATGTGCTTGCCTTTCAAGATAACAAAATTATCTCTGAATCTTCATCTGCATCTCATGCTGAAAATACAATTATTAATTGTAAAGTGTGTGTATGTTTACATATAATTGTAAAGATTTCTGTAAAGTGTATGTATATGTTTACATATAAATAGGCTATAACGAATTCATTATAAGATTAACCATTATGATCTTTTGGCATTCAGATCACAGGTATTTTTCCTATAATGAATGTATGCTTATGTGTATAGGTCCAAAATTTTTTACGTGTTATTTAAGAATCTGGCCATTTCAATAACCAGCTACTTTCATTTATATTAAACCGTCATATACTTGACATGGAAACTCAAAGCAAATTTAAAAGAGTTTTTATCACTATTCTCATAAGATGATATGGTAGTTAAGGTTATGTGTCAACTTGGCTGGGCCTGGTTTTGAATGGCTGGGCAGCAGGCAGCTGGATGTAGTTACTTCCCATGATGAGACTGGTAATCAACTCCATGGCAGAATCTGCTGTGAGCAGCTGAGTAGCTGCCTTAGGGATGTGGTCTGCTTACAGGATATAAGGAGAAGCTTGGAGAAAGGTCTCTGACCTTTTTAGCACGCTTGGATCCTGCCGTTAGCCGAGGCTTCATTCAGCAGTCTGCCAATCTTAGGACTGTTTTTGGATGTGAGCTAGTGCCCTGCCATGTTGCTTGATAATCTTGAGACTGTGCCATTTTACTTGTCAACCTTGGGTTTGTCAGCCTCAGCAGCCAGCAGCTGCCTGAGTCAAGAGCACCTCCAGCTGCAGTGGGCCAGCTCCAAGAGGCACAGCTGAAGCCCAAGGTCAAGGGGCCTTCACCCAGCCCCTAGAGGTGGCACTTGGATCTCAAGACTTCTGGCCTCCTAAACTGTAAGAGAATAAATCTCTGTATGTTAAAGCCATCCACTTGTGGTATGTCTGTTATAGCAGCACCAGAGAATACAGATGATTAACAGAGTTTTTCAAATTTATATAATTCAACTCACTGAACACAAAAATAATAAAGTGAGAGCCATAAATAATAAGTCAATCACCTGTTTTGTGTCCATCTCTCTATTCACAAGACCATAAAGATGATGGTAAGTAGAACTATTTGTCTTTGCTGAAGGAATTCTTTTTACATCAATGTTCTGAAAAACAGAATGTAAGTTAAAAGCATTAATTTTCAGTTAAAGCTAAATCCAATGCAAAAAAAAATCAATTTCAATCTTTTTTCTGAGTTAAAGTATTTCCAGTTATAATAAAAGTACCAGTTTTATTTGATCAGAGTCACTAGTACTTCAAAATATTTTCCAGGTGTCTCTAATGCAAACACAGTTCACTTCAATTTCTAACATAATCTATTATTTAAAGAGATATTTCACCTTTAAATCCTCTGAACATGAACATGATCATCATACAAGATATGTCAAATAAAATTATAAGCATTCTATTTATAGGAAAACAGAACATAGACTGTATGTCCTATTCCATACCTACTCACAGAGGTTCTAACATAGTTCTTAATTAGTCTTACTTCTTTCTTAATGTCTAACGACATCCCAAAACATTAGCCAATATTTACCCCATTCCAGAACAAAACAGCTCACAGAAGGACAAACTATTGTTGCCTTTCTTTCCTAGATTTTGTTATAAAAGCAGATTTAGTCCACCACAATTTATTATGCACTGATATCTAAT